GCAAGGCCATCAAGGTTGTGTTGTATTTTAGGTCTTCTCTTTCTATTCCTTATCCCTTTATAAATGCTGCACTACCTGCCTGTTTAAACCATTCTAATTCTTCCCAATTTCTTCCCTGTCTCTTTTTTTTTCCTTTTTCTTCTTTTTGTTGTCTGTTCCTTTTCCCCAGAAATTGGGTAACCACCGTACGTAACAAAGCTTCAATCTTGATGGCTTCGGTAAGATCCTCCCACCATGTTAATGCTATTCATCTCCAGCCCATATTTTAAAAGATGTGAAACTGTGCTGTAGTCGTTATTTGTTACTGTCATTATATAAACAAGCCGAACGAGGTTTAGTTTTGTACCTGGTTTCCAGCACTTCTTTGTTGTTAATGACGAGCAAAAGGGTCCTTTCACTTTTCATTTTCTGTGTTCTGTTATAAAAAAAACTGAAAAAGGTTTAGATGTACCGGTTTCCAGCAATTCTTTATCGCTAATGATGAGCGAAAGGGTTTTCTGTTTTCATCTTCAGTGAATAATTAATCTATTCATGTACAGTATGAACAAGAAGGAAGGCCACTACCCAAGTTCGGGGAATGGGATGTTAATGATCCTGCCTCAGCTGAAGGATTCACTGTTATATTCAACAAGGCCAGAGATGATAAAAAAACTGGAGCAGGATCCGTACGTGTTCAATCCCAGCGAAGAAATAATTCGCGCAAGGAAGAGGATAAATCTGCCAAGGTACGTATGAATAACACGAGTTATGCTATCTGGTGCCAGAAACAACATAACCATAAATTTCCCACCAGCACATGTGCATATGATTTATTGCTTATTTGAAAGCTAAAAACAGATAAAATCATTGTCTATAATGAAGTTGAATAGCTAATACTATACATACATATATATAAATGGTTTAGGCTCAGAAGAAGTGGTTTTGCTTTAAACCCTAAACGAGGATAAGAATGTGTTTGTCGCTGCTTGGGACGTATGTTGATTCTCTTCAGTTTTCTTCTGAGGCCTCATCTGTCTCCAGACCAGGGATTAGAGATAAAAGAAAAAGAAAAGACATAGTTGCAGTCTGCTCACTATTGTAGCTTCTAGTTGTTCACATGTTTCCCCTTTGTACGCACCGGAACAAAGTATAATATGTAAATATAAGGATAAAAAACTACCTTTTGCAATGACAAATTAAGCAGATATGTCTGCTCTTGTTACTTTCGTGATGCTGATGTGCTCAACTAGGCAGCTTTTTGTCTATCGCTTCTTCATCTTGTGCCATCTTTCCAAGAGGCTTCTTCTTTCTTTTTTTTTAATTTTCATGTGACAATTAAGGCTGAGTTTGTTGAATGAAGACAATGTGATTCCTACGCCACTAGCAGCAATGGTGCTACCACATTTGACTGAAAGTGATGATGACATGTATTGAGTATATTTAATATATAATTATACTAATATATATACTATACTATTATTAAATGACTTGGTTGCATTGATGTTTGTTAAATGCCGCAATACATGGGCTACTTGTGAGAGGTGAAAGTAAGCATGGTTTTATCTGTTAAAATATATCTTCTCTTGTTCACTCAAGAGGAAAATTAATCTAAGAAGGCTGTACAAAATTTACTACCATAACATCTTTAAGTAACTATGAGATGTAAGATAATATAAAAAAAAGTATTCAAAAATGAAGGTAAGAGAAATATCGAAGAAAGAAAGTACATGATAGGTAAAAGAAAGTAGTAAAATGTCAAAATTAATAAAGTAGTAAACAAAAGTAAAAAAATATCAAAGAAATGATATCGTTGATATAGAAAGCGATCAAAAGTAAATATATAAATAAAGTGTATCAATAAAATAGTTGAGATTATCATAATAAATCATTCATCCGTAAACGTCTTATGATCCTATGATTTAAGATTTAAATGGATATTAAGTTTCAGTATAAAATTATGTATAATATTATAATATTTTTTTATAAGACTGTTTATCCTCTTTGTAATATAACACAACTTATAAATTACTGTCTATCCTTATTTATATATTTTTTTTCAGAAGAACCGTTATCTCTTTGTAATATTTTTGTTTTGTAATTATACGTTGCATCCTTGATCAATTAATAAGTTTTTAACCAATAAATAATAAAATTGAATAAGGAGATAATCTCTTGATCTGTCACTATTGTATTAGGATGGTGAAGATGAGTAGCTACAAGTTACACATCATATTCTCTTTCCAGGCATTAATTATTAATAATTTTTTAAAATTAAGGGTAGTTTTAGAATAATAGTAAATATATTGACAACAATTAATATCAATAGATAAACTAACTAAGTTTAAAAGAGTGTGAAATAATTAAAGTATTTAAAATAAAGAAAGAGAAGAATAAGTACAAATAGTTAATTATATTATCTTTTTTACATAAATACATTATATATGAGTTATTTACAATAAGTATTTAATTAAAATATTTAGGATTCGCGTAGAAAAAAAAAAACTTCATTAATATTTTTCAATAAACTCCCTTTATTAATAGTTTACATTTCAATGCTCATATTTCAATCAACGAGACCACTGCTTAAGCAAATGGAAATGATACTTGAACAACCATTTTTGACAACATTTAGCACTCGCACACGTGTCAAAATCTGAGTGGTCCAGTTGGAAAAATTAAATGAAAATGGACCACTCAGATTTTGACACGTGTGCACGTGTCTAAAGTGTCAAAAATAGTTGTTCAAGTGTTATTTTCCAATTGCAAATCTAATTCACTTGAAATGTAGGTCGACTCAATTAACACAAACTTATTAATTTGCGTGAAAAATTGAAGGGTGGGTGAACGAGTGATTGACGATCTACCCCGTGTGATGAAAGACCCATGTCTGATCGATCACGAGGTCCAAGACAAAATCAAAACAGAAATTTAAACATTCGAAAACGAAACAACTCAAAAACAAAAAGTGTTGTTGTGTTGTGGGTTACAACTGTACACTCCGTGTCACTATTTTCATCGCTCATTCATGCAAAACTGACTGCCGCAAACCACATGTCACACACACACTCATCAACCACTTCTACAATTCACCCTTAAATGTTTTATCCAAATCTTCAACCTTCTACATTAATCAAACACACCTCAACCGTATCTGTTTTATTAATTTACTTTTAGTAGAAATTCATATTTTAACTACTTTATTTTTATTTTTAATGTTTATTCCTAACACGTCTAACATATAGATATCCATTAAAAGATTTTAATAATATCATTAGATAAACTTATATGGTAAATGGTAAATGACTCTAAGAAAATTATTAGTAATTAAAATTAAAGCTTACAGTAATACTGTTTTGTACAAGGTAGGTGAAATATGTGAAGTGGTTTGTTAGGTGGAGGAACTGTTATTGGTTTCACATTCAACATTAATTGAATCCTCAACCTCCGTGCATATGTGACTATGATGGCAACTGCCACAATATTAAAGGGAACTCTGTTCAGCAAATGTAGGAAAAACCCGTAAGCAAGAAAATGGTTACAGCACCGTGTAACAGAGTTGATCAGTGTATCCTCATAATCTCATGCCTCGGTTTCATCGTCACGCTCCGCCTCCTCCTCTCCCTCTCCGCATGGATCTTCCGAACCTGTTTCCGATCCGAGAAGAACCTGAGAACTTACGGTCCTGGGCTGTGGTCACCGGAGCACCGACGGCATCGGAAAGGCCTTCGCCTGCCAGCTGGCAGAGCGAGGGCTCAACCTCATCCTCGTCAGCAGAACCCTGCAGAAGCTGGAAGCCGTTGCGCGTGAAATCAAGGAGAAGAATCCGAACGCGCGCGTGAAGTTGGTGGCGATGGACTTCGCGAGCGGGGATCTGTCGGAGGGGCTGCGGCGCGTGGAGGAGGCGAGTGAGGGGCTGGATGTTGGCGTGCTGGGAACAACGTGGGAGTGACGTATCCGAAGGCGATTGTTTTTCGACGAAGTGGAGGAGAGTGTGTGGACGAAGATTGTAGAGTAACGTGGAAGGAACAACGAAAGTAACGAAATGGTCTGCGTGGGATGTTGGAAAGAAGAAAGGGAGCGATCGTTTAACATCGGTTCCGGTTGCTGCGGCGGTTCTCCCTTCTCATCCTCTCTCACGGTGACGCTGCCACCAAGGCGTAAGCTTTCTCTTCTTTTATTTCTTTCAAAAACATATTTTAATATATTTAACATTATTTAATTAATAACAAGACATTTGTAAACATGCAGTTACGGGACCAATTTTCAAGATCCCTATACGTAGAGTATGGACAATACGGGATACATGTGCAATGTCAGGTACGACGTTATTGCAATGTTGGTTTTAGGGTAAACTTAGTAAAGGAGTGATGATGAATAGGAAGGATGATTCATTATTGTTAAGAATATGACGAGTGAAGGTACCACTGTACGTTGCAACGAAGATGGCGTCGAAGGTGGCTTTTATAGATAAAGATTCAGTATTTATACCAACGGCGGAAGCTTATGCAAGAGCTGCAATCGGTGAAATTGGCTATAAACCAAAGTGCATACCTTATTGGGCTCACTCCGTCAGGGCTTCTTCTCAAACTTCATCCCTCATCCTCTGCTTGATGCTTGGCGATTCTCCGTCGGTATTCGCCGCCGGAATAACCAAAAATCCTTCACGTCGGATGTCAAATCTACTTTGAAGCCTATAAAATAATTTTCAAAGTGATGGGGTCCATTAATTCCGACACCCTAATTGAACCTATCTAAAGTTATGTGTTGCAGCTATCCACATTACTCCGAATTTCCCATTCCAAAAGCGACTAACTTTAGCCTTTGTTTATGTAGCACTTGATTGTAGTTAAGTGATTTGAAAGGAAAGGTTAAGTTGGTTTGGTTGATTTAATTTTTGTCCATTTGGGAGATAAAACGATGGTCCCCAGATTTCAGTTTCACCACAATGAATTCCTCTCAAAGTTATGTTGATAGTAAAGTAAACAGATTCACGCTCACATCTTAAAGGGCTTCGGCTGTCCATACATTTTAGGAAAACTATATTTTTAAAATAATTATTTCTAAGCTTCACTTTAATTTCATTTTACTTTTAATAATTCTTTTACTAAATTGAATCTTTATTTTTCTTAAAAGTCTTAAATTGGAGTTGAAAATATTTGAAAATGTCACATCTTCATATTTAGATTTATAATATATAAGAATCATTCTCAAACGTATCGTGTGTCAAATTAAAATAAAAGTTTCAAAATGAAAAATAATTTTTTAAATTTTGATACATAACAAAACAAAATTTTGATAGTGACAATTTTAAATTATATTAACATTAATTTAATAAAAATATCATATGAATTTTTTACAAAAAAAAACTTAATGTATAAATATAAATAAAATAAGTAATCAAATATCTAAATATAAAAATCAAGACTTAATAACTTAATAGTAAAGTAATTAAGTAACTATTAAATCAGTATAAAAGTTTATTTTTTCATAATCATTTTATATTTATAATATATATCAAATAAGTGTAAATATATTTCTTCCAATTATTAGTTTTTATTATTTGTAAAAGTTGAATAGTTGATATGACTTGCGTAATAAATAACAGAATAGCGAAAAAAATATATAAGGAATAATAATAAATGAATTGAGTGTATCAAAAGGATCATAAGGTAACTATCACATCAACTCTTCCACACGCATCATTCTTCACTCCAAGCTGCCCAATAAATGAGGAAACGCTCCATGCAAAGAGTCACCCAAAGCCAGAATAAACAATAATTTACAATATTTATATTGATATTGAAGTAAAATATCATAACATTTCCTAAAAATCGTAATATTTTCTGTTACAAAAGTTTTCAATAAAATTTTATCTGGATAAATTTTATCGCTAAAATATTTTATCGGTAAAATATTTTATTGGTTCATGAAACATCCAAAAATATAGCATAAAACTATATACAGATGTCGTCATTTTAATAATATGATAAACAGTTATTAGAAATAAAGTTAATATTATAGTTATTACAAAATAATCATAATTTAAAACTTTATAAAAAGTCCTACACTATCCAAAATATGTACATAACCGAACGGTTATTACCAAGTTAGGATTATAACCGAACAGTCAGACAAAATTATTCACAAGACCGAGCGGTCTTGTACTAAGCCGAGGGGTCTTTCCTTCCAAGGACTGCTCCACGATAACTCCTCTCCAACTGCTCAC